GAGCCCAGAACTGGGCACAGTACTCCAGAAGTCAGGGCTTAAGACAGGACATTAAGTAGCCAAGCTCCTAATCCAAGTCTATACAGCTATTTCTGCATCCCAGGGGCACCGCTGCCAACCGCCAACCACAAACATCTGCAACTCCACATGACGAAAACTTGCAGGAATTTCTTCAGGAGAGAAAAGCAGAAGAGAAGGGGAAGGTGGGGAAGAAAATGGAAAAGTGCAGCAGTGAGAGCCTTTGTTTTCCCATTCTGGACTAAAGTAATTGGAAAGGAGCAAAGCCTTCGAACACACATTGTAGTAGCTGCAAGCTAGGAGGGGAAGGCAGACAAGCCTCAACATCTACTAGCATGCTGCTACTCACAGCGATACCCCACCCTGGGAGAGGCTCCCAAACCCCAAGCCTGGTAATCAGCGTACTCCCTATAATTGGGAATAAAAATATAGCATCTAAAGCTATCTGTACTTAGAGATGGGCTTAGCCAGAAGTTAATTAAGCCAGTTTTAATCCAGTTAGGGAGAATCCTGTCAGGGAAAAGCAGAGCAGAGCATTACCGACCAAAGATCATTTGCCTGAACACGGAAAAAAGACTTGAAGTTTTACACTAAATTCTCTGCTCTGATCCGACCTAACTGTTGCTTAGGATTTAAGGCTTTCAGGATTGACAGGCTGTAAATGTATTAGGTAACAGCAGTCTGAGTGCCAGAAGCTCTCCGGAAAGGTCAAACAGCAAGCCCCAGGGCCCTCGTTCTAGAAGGAACCCAGTCTTGTTTCTGTTAGAGTACTTTTAGCATTTCCTAACTCAACAGTAAGCTTGCGTTATCTTTTTTGCTTTGTGTGTACTCTGCACCTAGAGTAACATAACTCTGATCCCTATGTGAGGCTGCAGCTTCCCACTAAAATCCAAGAAATAAAATTAACATTGCTTTATTAAGATCAGCTCCACAGTACATAAATACGTGTCTTACTGTTGTATCTCATGATGTACTTCATGCTTTCCAAGTTGGTCACCTTGCCCTGGTCTCGACGGAATATTTTTGCTCTTGGAGCAAGCTCGTAAGAGAAATCCATGCCATACTTCTCAACGTATGCCGCATACCCACTGAGATTGTAAATCTTTTCATGGAAAGGGATATTGTATGAAGGCCAGTAACCTGCCAGAGACAAAACCCAATCTGTTAGTCACTTAGAAAAGCTGAACATTCTTGCTTATACCAAAAATAAAAATAAACCATTTTTCATGCTGCATTGCCTTGACAGCATGTCGAGGAATAACATGTCAAACTGGTTTGAACACAAGAAAATAAGGCAATAGTCACAGGCATGACCAGGGTTGACTCCTAGTTTAACACCACTGGAGACTGTGCCCAGGCAACCCGCCTCCAGACTTCCAGCCCGAGGACTCATCCTGCAAAACGGCTGAGATCAGACTTGCAGGAGTCCGAGGTGAAGAGGCAGAGCAGCCCCAGCCCGCCTGCAGAGGTTTCCCTGCTCGGCCTCAGAGGAGTGCAAGATCATTTACCTCCACCAAACTTCCCAGCAAGAGGCTTGAAGTCACTCCCTTTTTTCTTGCCCTTCCCATCTCACCAAGGCAGAACAGTTCACCGTGCTGAGATGTCAGGGACGGACGGATACAAACACCCACGGACCACAGAGCTAGCAGGGGTGAAGAGGAGGCAGCCAGGAAAGCACACACCCACACGCTTGGTGCAGTGGTGGTCGTGCACAGCGATAAGGAAAGATGGGGGGATAGCTGCACACTTGCCAGGATCTGCCTTTGAGGGTTAAGTGGCAGTTGATCAGCAGAGCAGCGCCCTGCCCTAACTTTTCCAAGAGCAAGTGTGAATCCTGCAGTTTTGTTAACTTTAAAGAGCAGAGTTACCAGCCAGAACTCCAGAGAGAGTTTTAGGTGGGCAACATACAACTGCCTGAAACAAGACTAGCATAGAAAGCAGAAAAGCTCGTAAAGAGCCAGGAGACCATCCAGGTCAGGGTCTGGGTACAGCAAGGCCTGGAAAAAATAGACACTTCTACCTTAACATTTAATTTTGTTAAATTTCTTTTGCAAGGCAGGCACTAAGGAGTGTTTAGGCAGAAAGTATTAACATGAGCTAGTCCCAAGAGCAGCACACTTTCAGATTCTCTCCAAAGCACTAGCGTTCCTGTTGTTAGTGGGGAATGTTGCTTCTCCAATCACACACACCAGGATTCGGCTTAGAGATTTACCACCTAGACACTGGTACATGCAGCCCCCCATGTATTAACATCAGCCCAGCACAGCGTGAGGAGTCTGCCTGTAAGATGCTCAGAAAATCAACTGGGACTCACTGGGAACGATCCACACAGACACAAACCAAACTTCCTGAAGGACAGGTAACGCAGACAGCAGCAGCGCTGGAACACTGCCAAAGCAGAGGCCTTACCAGCTTGGGTCCTGCCTGGCCCGCAGCAGATGGGGATACCCTGTCTGTTGGCATTTGCTTACGTGACCTGGAGCCTACCTGAAGGAAACAGGTTGTGTACATGTTGCGTTGCAATACAGGCATCCTCCAGAAATGAGCACGCTTGCCAGCCTCTAATAACGCAGGCTGGAGGTTACAGATACATCACCTTCCAAACCAGCAGGGTTTAGTTGTCTTTCAAAAAGGTGCTATTGTCTCACATGAACACAGTGCAATACAGATGACCCACTTCTCCTACCTGGGAAAACTTTTTGTTTAGATTACTAAGACAGAGGAAGCTATTGAAGTTCTCCTCCAGCAAGAGCTCTTCTGTGTCTCAGGCTCCGCAAGACTGCAAATCCCATGCCGAGAGTGCAGTACCCAACCTAAGGCAGGCTTTACCCAAGGGCTGTTACAAGCCAGTGAAACCTGCCTGTTAGGCCTGGCAGGGTGAACAGTGACAAAAATAAGTCAGAGATGGTGTAAGGTTGAAAGGGGGATGGCACGGAGGCAGCAAAAATTCTCAGAAACAAAATGCCTTCCTCCTCTGCCCATCAGAGCAAGAGATCTCAGCAATATCGAGAGGTAGAGCAATGAGAATATCACACGTATGGTGGAAGAGACTGAGATCCCCGGTTCCAATCTGATGTGTTGCTTTTGGTGCTGAAATTGATGTACGACTCGCTCATCATCAAGAAACGTGAACTGTAGCCCACTCCTGTGCCCTGTCCCTATACTGGAGACAGTATTGCCCTCCCCCACCTCCTCTAAAGGATTCCCGAGTTTTCTTTGTCAACATACAGAAAGCATCTTGACATCTTTGCCTGGAAAGGGCAACATAAGAGATGCTTGTGTTTTAGAACTCACCTGCACTGGCCTATGAAACAAGCTGACAGAAGCCATAAAAAAAAATCTTTACATTTTCAAACCCATATAAGAAAACGCTTCCTTCTTCCTCAGATACAGGGCTTACTACAGCAATGCCTGCCTTTGTTCATCTGAGAACTCAATTCTCATTCTCTGTTGTTTCTAGGTTTAGGCCTGAAAGAGACTTAAAAAGCCAATGTTGGTGCAAACTCAGTCTGACCAAACCAGCTTGTCAAAAGTGTGTTATCTGTGGATACCAGCTACAAGGAAACTCTGGAGTGTGCCTACAAACTCTACAAATGCCTTAAGCCAGCACTGCTCTCCAGAAAGGCAAACTTCCTTCACCTGGGCTGCTCCAAGCACCAGGGAACAGGGCAGGGGCCTCAATGGGATTTGTCTGGAGTCCCGCATGGCAGGGAAGGGTCCAAATCTGCTGCTTACAGGAGCAGCGTTGGCTTACAGCAGCTGAGGTCTCTAAGACAGCACCTCTGCGGTGCTTAGCCCATCCTGTGTGCTGAGGACTGTCCTTCTAATGTTTAAACTCCCAGGGACTGACTGCTGCAATATCCAATACACACAAGGTGCATTTAGATACCTGGGAAAGCCATACTGTAAATGTAAAATAATATGTAACTCCTAACACATGCTGCCACCTTGGAGAACAGAGCAGCCACAAGATGTCCTAGGACGGAATAAGCGGTCAGGGTGTGCCAAAGCCCAGGGGTTGGGCTTAGTCCTACGGGGAATCCCACACAGCAGCTCTTAAAAGTCACTGCTGAAAAGAAACTTGAGGAATCCTCTAAGCCTGACCGTTCTGCAGTGCTGCAGCGCTGCCATGACATGGTTGCATTGCTTCGAATGCCAGAGCCAGAGGATCTCTATTAGCTTGTCTGTCTGCACCACAGTCCACAACACGGCACAGAGAAGGCCAAGGCATTTCACCGTCTGAACTACAGACTAACACTGGAAGATAAGGTGCAACAGCCTACTTTCCTATCTTCAATGGATAAAGGAGTCAGAGAAGCCTACGGGACAGAAATGGGATTTTTCCAAATTATCAATAAGAAACATCTCTAAAACCATATTGACATTGTGGCAATGCCTAAAATAAGCCAGAACTTTCCAAGGAGCCAGAATTTTTCCAAGGAAAAATTCCAAAGGGAAACAACCCCAGCTCCTGACATAAATGCATTCCCAGTCATTTTGATGATGAAGAGTAATTCATCAGTTTACCTCCTCAGCATGTGATTAGAGGAGGGAGCACCAGACACACACGTAAATTTGTGGAACAAGTTCAGGCTTTTGGGTGCTGCCATAGTGTCCAGAAAACACTTGTGAATGAAACCTGACAGTGGGTGTTTTGCCTCACCTAGATTTTTGTTTGTTTTCCATCAAGTTGTCGCTAGCCTTGCTAGGGGATTAAGGAATCTTTTAAATGGCAAATATTTATCAGATAACAGAGATCCAGAAAAGTTTAAGAGTTGAATGTAACAGAGAACTTCCCTTGTATTTAAAAGCTCATCTCCTTGCAGGGTGACCCACTCACCAAACATTTCCAGTAGCCCACAGCCTCACAGTTATTTAGTTCTGCTTCAAACAGACCTCACCTTTTTCCTCACGGGTCTCTAAGGCGAAAATTATACCAGAAAAAAAAAAGGCAAGAAAAAGAAAGAAAGAAGGTAAAGTCTATTTTTCCCTTCCCTGCTTTTAAGAAACACAGATGCTCACCGTATTTCTGCCACAGCATACAGGAGAAATGAACACAACGTAATAGACCTGGCAACAGAGGGATGGTCACACAAAGCTTTCTAACTTGAAACTCAGCACTAGCGTTCAATAAACCCTTCCCAGGTACAAAGCATGATTGTCCATCGGTTGGCACAAAGAGATGGCTTTCCTAAGCCAGTAACTGCTACAGGAGCTATTACCTTTCCGGAGAACATTAGTTTGATCAGAATACTCCACAAGGGTTGGGATCTGCTCAACAATGTACAGTGCACCATCATCAAGGCTCTTCTGCAGCTTGACCTTCTTCAGGTCCAGCACCATGTACTGATTGTTGTAGGTCCCTAGGTAGGAGAGCAAAGAGAGAGTTACATGTCCTGCCTGGGGAAGGAAAAGAGTACAAGGAGGAGAGGGAACACATCCTTTTTTCTAAGATTCATATGAAAGTGTACTTACCAGAGTTGCACTTCGCGAAGGTTTCTGCCCAAGTTTTGCCACCGTCTGCCATCATGTTAGCAATGCGGACCCTCTGCCAAGCTAACAGGGATTCAGGCACCACTTGCTTAATGAGGGTTTGGTTGAACACACTGTTGGTAGTCTGCAACATTACCAAGCCGCTGCCTAGTATGTAAAAGTCATCCAGGGACACCAAAAAGCCTTAAACAGTAATAACACAAAATTTGTTATCTTCGTGAACCTTAATAGGATAAAACAGAGAGAGACAAGTCAAGAGGATACGAATGAGTCAACGCGTGCGTGTGTGAAATCAAACTGTACAAATACTAAAGATGAGGTGGTGAGTTCTGCAAGTCACTTTAAGCCCACCTGTCAGCACACTTTCTCATTTGTCATGTTTTCAACACACAACCTAATGCTGTGTCTAGAGTATTTGCTTCATGTTTGCATTCCAAGCTTGAAAGTTTCTCCTTCATATGTCAAGCTATGTCTTATTCTTCTGCTGGGGATTAAACACTGTAACACCTAGTGAGTGTTTGTTTCTAACAAAGAAATTCCTTCAAAAAAAGTACAGCAAAGAAAACCAAAACAAAAGCACAAACTCCACAAAGAGATTTTCATCAACCAGTTTCAGTTTTAGATTTTTATTCTGTAAGGACAACAGATATTCCTTTAAATTGATCCCTTCTGGACTAAACCAAGGCAAGCAGAAAAATCTTCCTTCTAGTTTAATCTTTTCCAGTCTAACTATTCTTAAAAGCATCTCCAAGAAATGGGCACCTCTTAAATCATAAACCATATCCTGTATATGAGAGAAAGTTTTACCTACTCTTCTTTCTGACATGTTGTCATTGGGGTTTTCATGCCTATCAGCCCTGCAAACTCAACACAGCAATGGATCTCCAGGCAGGATTCCCTTCCAGGTTACATGCCAACAGAAGTACAAGGTCCAATTACAGGTCCTGTGCCAGGAGGTGGTATACGGAGCTGCAAAGGTCAGCTATAATGCCATGGATAGCACGGTGACTACTTACAAAGCAGAAATAGCTTGACTTTGCAATTTCCCAGCAGACACAGGGCTGCCAGGTTGGGGAAAAAAGGTTGTGAACTGAGCTCCTGATGGGGAAGTCATCCAGAATGTGGTCTCTTGCTAATGAGTTTAATGGCATCCCCCTTCAAAGAATACAAAATGCTAAAATGCTGCGCTACAGCGTAATAGTTGAGTTCCACTATGAAATCTTCTACAGCAAGCTTTATTAACGCCCTCTCCAAACAAACTAATGTCAGCAACCTATGACAGCCAGAAAGACGACCCAGGTCTGCCTCCTGTTCCTGGGCTTTCATCAAAAGGCAGACTCCTTCAAGCAAAATAATGTTTAAGGGCTCGATTTCAGCAAGATTTCTTTAAATTCTCAAGTTCTCAAACCAGAACAGATTCAGGAAAATATACTTTGTGGTCACTTGTTCTCTAAAAATACGTCAGTATAGAACAGGCCAAGCACCCTGGCAGCTTGTGGTTCCTAGTATTTTATTCTTGGAGACAGAAAAAGTGTGTCAATAAATTATGTACATCAACAGCAGAGTTCTCTCAAATATGTAAGGACAGGAAGAGAAACACTAAACCTGGCTCTGCCAGTCTATTTTATACAAAGAAGTGGGATATTCCAGCGATAAACTGTTGTGTAATAAGTCGAGTGCTTGCCCAAACAGAGACAAGAAATGAAATTGTTAAACAACTGTGATTTGAATTGAATGCCAATTCCCATGCGGATGCCAATGCCAAGTGCCCTACTTCAAAATAAATGAAATATTTTTTTCCTCTTTTTCAATCAACAGCTGAGATAAAACAGAAAAACTCAACGCAAGTGTCAACACAAGGAATTATGCTGAATTAACTGAAGTTTGAACTCTAACTCAAATCAATTGCAAAGCTCAGCTAAGCTGAAAACAAGGGGATTTCTTTCTGGGCCTTAGTGTTTACCAAGTTTTATCCTGCAATGTTTATAATGTTATAATATAGCATACCCTCCATGCTACACTGTTACTAGCCTAATTACTCCAACACAACATACTCCATTTTGACTTAAGGCATAGGCACCCCTGAAACAAAGGGAAGTTAAAACATATACAACAGGTTTACTCAGGGCAAAGACATGCACAAAAATAAAACCTGGGTGAAGCCTAGAGATATTAGCAGATATTTGATGTCTTCTTGTGTCATTCTTGTCTTTTTAATTATGCATGAGAATCTGTTGTAATTGAAAATGCCTTTTATGTCAACTGTTATCTCACTGTACGCTTCATCTACTTTTTCTGTAAACTCATCTCCCATTTTTATCAGCAACTATCAATCCATTTTTTCTCTTTCCTTTTCTTTTTTTCCTCCCCCCAATGAACCTGACTCTTCCTACGTAGAAACAAGCAAAAGCACTTCTGATGACACCTTCTGGGTCTGAGCTACTTAGATTCAGTTTCCAATCACCAATCACTGGAAAACAAAAAGTTTCCAGAGTCTGGAGTTTCATTCATCATGACAATATTGATCAGCCACACAAAGCAAAATATTTTTTTAAGTCTGAGCAGAGTGTTCTCCAGAGACTCAGCACAAGAAATAGTATGTGGAAGGCAGCATGCTCCTGGCAGCTATAGTTCCTAAAGAGGTAGGCTGCTACTTTCTGAACCAGATGGCATCAGCTTTTTTGGTGTCTTAAAAGGCTGTCCTGCTCATTCAGGTACAGAAAGGGTCAGTATTACAGGCTGGAAGTCAGAGCCATGAGGTTCAGCCATCACCTCGCAGGGATGAGAGTAGCTCCTGGCTGAGGTGCTATAAACACACCTGATAATGGGAAAGGAGATGTCCTCTCTGGATTAGCTTTCTCAATCCCATCAGCAGCTGCTTCTCACGTCAAGACCGAATTCCTGCCACCTGCCTGCCTTCCACTTGCAGACCTCTCCTAGGCACTAAGAGATAGCACATCCCGCTCTACAGCTCTGGCCTCTCATCTCCAAAGTGCATCAGACACTTTCCTCTGCTTCCCTACAGCTTTTAGACAGATGTTGGAGGGAGCAGGGAAGCAAGAAATGGTCTGGCAATACCTCATGAGCCAGCTGGTCCCCTGAATACAAGGGCTACTGCCCTTTCCATGTTTTGCTCCTCCGGGCTCTTGCTCAGGCTGTGGAGAAGGATAACGCTGCACCTTCTGATCCTGCACTAACACCAGATTACTTCAAAGCAAGGGACACACATTACTTCCCTCTCCAGCCTTAGCAGCACATGTATAACCATCCATCAAGACAACTTGTGCCATCTTGGTCCCATGTCATAGCCTGTCTCAACCAAGCCAGATCCTGACAGCAGACCAGAGGAGCAAAGGTGGCATTAAAGTTCTTCTCAATTCTTTAGCTCAAACAGCTAAAATCAGAGTAACATACTTCACAAGACGGCAGCTCAGCCCAGAGAGAGTAGGTGACTACCCAAACCAGACTGCTTGGCTCCAAATGGTAGATTGCCTTTCTTAAATACAGTTCAAAACAAACTTCAAGAAGAGGTCCATCCAAATGGACCGAAATCTTGGCAGCTGCAGCCTCCCTGCTGTCCCAAGGAAAACTGCAAATTTAGTCAGTTAATGGGGCTCATTTCTTTGATTGCCTCAATGGGGCAGTGCAGAGCAGTGGCTGCACGGGGGGGGGAGCCCTCTGATCTTTTACTAGCCATGGCCTGCAAAACACAACACCTACCTTGTCTCTGTCATCACATTTCTTACCCCCCAAGTGAGCACAGCTTCACTCGGCATTTGTGAGCAACCGTAACGTGTCTGTACAATTTAACTTCTCTCTGCTGAGCATAGATTCACCACCCACATCAAGTACTTATGTCCAGAGCTTGAACAAGACACTCAAGTCAGGGGTGCCCAAGCATTCAGCTCAGAGACATTCCTCCTTTCCAGAAGTTCACAGAGCTGTCCCACATGCAGCTTTGCCCAGGTGCTTTCAACAGAAGAGGAAGCTAAGACCATGAGCAGAGTTCAAGTGAGGATTAGGATTAGCGTGGAAGTGTGCAGCAAGTGGCTAAATCATTCTGCAAAAGCCGAGATCACCACTCCTGTCCATTTCCACTTGACTGTGCCTCTGCAGCACTGCTGTTGCTCTGAAAGGGAGAAAGCAGCAGAGAGAAGACCTGCTGTAACAGTGGGCATTTGAGCATGCTGGCAGGAACGTGGGGAACTGCTGAGGAAGCCGGCATGGACTCTGCAATTCCTGCCTGTCCTCCCACCTGCTCGGTCACAGCAGAAGCAAGGAAGCACAAGGCCCTTTAGCTGTATTGCAATGTACACGCTGACATGCACCACGGTTAGTGATTAGTCTTAGATCCTCTGAACTGAGTCACAACAAATAATGATTTTTGCAGTGTAGTAGCCTGTCTTTTGAAATTCAGCAAGTGAACAACCTGGACAATTTTATTCCGTGACCCCAGGAGAAATCAGGGAGTTGGTACATTCTTTCTTAGAAGGCAAATGACTCGTTGAAGCTTTTCTGACACAGCTTTTGGACAGCAGAAGAGTTGTACTTCATATCCAGCCTACTGGATGACAGGAACCTTTGAATTAGTCAGTTAAATGTCACTGAAGGACACCTGTCTTCTAATGCTCTTTGTTTCTTCCCAAATCTTCTATGTAGATTAGGATCACATTACTACGTTACTATTCAGGAGAGCGTACTAGCTTGGCCTTTCCTACTGGTTCTTAGTGTCTATCAGGACGGAGAGTAAGAGTGGGAACTTGCATGCAGGGAGAAGTTACAGTCATCAAGTTGAACCATGGCCAGGACCTGCAGATTCCATGGGTAGATGCCCTGAAAATATAAAGCTTCATCTCATCACGACATGGAGCAGAGGAATTTGGCAGTTCCTTCCTTCCTGTGTGATGTCCCTAGCGCATTACCAGGCCAGTGCTTTAGAGCTTACTCATCCCATGGAAAACTGCAAGTTTGTGAACAACACCCGCAGCTAATGCAATTTCTGTAGTCAATGGATCATACTTGCCTAGTGCTTGTGATAGTAGCCTGTAATTAGGCAGCCAGTGAGTCCACTTTGCATACCACAGGTCTCTCAAACTTCACTGTAGCCATGGGAACTATGTTTTGCAACAGTTCTCACTCAATTTCGTTGGTAGAAGTACACCTTACCTCATCACTGTGTCAGAGTCTACCCGGCACAAGCAAGTTTTAAAATAAGCCATCTCTGCAGATCTCAGTCTCAGGGAAGCACACTGGGATTTTGTATACTAGTGAACAGAGCCCGACCACTTCAGCATAGGAGTAGCTGATTCTCAGGTATCCTCCCATACAGCATGCTTTATCAGTCTCATCAAAACAGAAGACTTGTATTTCACTTTGTACAAAGAATTGACAAAAGGAACAACTCTGAGACATCACCAGAGAGACCCACTAAAAACAAAATAATAAACTCTCTCCATGGCTCATCCTGTTCCCCAGTTTTCGATCTGCAGCACAATGCAGCGTCCAGCAGTTGCTAAACAGAGCCACATTCTCCTGAAGGACAGTACTATCCTCAGCAGTATTTCTGCTGGGAGATACGAGATCCAGAATAACCTTCTGTACATTCAGGTGATGAACAGAGCTCATACGGAAACCTTGGCTCTCTACCAGGTTACACAGGCTTGGCAAAATTCCTTGCAACAAGCAAGCGAAATTCCTCTAAGGGAATTAGAGATAACCCAAGCTCTTGAAAGGCTGTACACTTAACAGGTGGTCACCAGAATATCTCTGCTCCTTCCTCAAAGCAAAGATCTCAGTTGTCAGAAAATTCTGCATTCCTGAGGGTCACTGAGGATGGTCAGAACCCCACAGAACAAGATTTGCTTTCAATACGAAGTGAATGCAGCTGCTTTTCAAAACAGTTTCCCAGTCACAGTCTCAGGAGTCCCTGCCAGGAAGGACCCTTGCCTTTCTAGTAAGGCAAGCACAGTAATTCAACAAAGCATGTTTTGAAACCATCAACCTACAAAATTTCATCAGAATGAGACAGTCTCCTACGGCACATAATTCACCTTAAAAATTTTATGAAGATTCTTGAGTGTTTGGGTATTTTTGAATTTGAAATTCCACCTTCAAAAACTTATGCAATGCTAACTCACTCTTAAGAGTTGCTTTGGTTTTTCATCTTCACATTTCTTGGTACTACTCTTAGGAAGAGTATGTATTTTACCACTGAAACATTAACTGCTGGCAATCTCTAACATTCTTCTAGGAAACTTGAGTATGCTGCCTAATCTTCCCAAGGGAGATTTTAATATTCTGGCTGGCTATATTACTAACACATGAAATAAGCATAAAAAAAAATACTCCCCTCTGCAACAGCTTATAGAGAAGCTGGGAGATGGGGGGCGGGACAGGGGCATGACCCACAAAACTGAAGTTTTGCTAACCCAACACCAAAGTTGATATAGTTTGAAATGGCTGGTGTTTGATACTCTGTAATAATCCCATTACAGCAGGAGTCATGCCACAGTGGTAAACAGAAGCGTACAAAACTGTTGTTACCAAACATGCAAATGCTATAGGCAAGGTGAGGAGTTCAGCAGATGAGATGACTGCAGACTACACAGGCAGAATTCAAAGCAGCATGTTTGTGCCAGAGGTAGAATATTTAACTAGTGCTATTCAGAGCACTGAAGGTGATTAATCAACAACAAAAGACAACGACAACAACATGTTCAAGCCAGAAAATTGAAGACAACATTTTGTCCTCTTGGCAGCTAAAAGTTTTAAGCCAGTGCTTGTTGAAGTTATCATCCTTCTTATAAACAAGACATCTGTAAGACAGTAAGATGGTCTATGCCATCTTGAATATCTACATTGTTTTGGTTTTCTTGACTTTACCTGGGTAACTGCTGAATGAGACACGGCTGGTGCTAGTGTCTGGATCAACTATATTGAAGTTCCAATGCTTATATATTCTCAGCGTGGCTGCGTATGTAAACCAGCTGGAATGGGCAAAATATATATTCTCATATCCAGGTAGAACCTGGAAAACAGAAGCAGAAAGATTAATAATTTCAGACCCTACTATACTCTGCATGTTTTGTACTTGATAGAAACCGGGAGAACAACTTGTTTTAAATAGTTTGATTAATTGCATTGTTCAAGAAGGAGCAGATTCTTGTGCTTTTAATTGTGTACTTAACAATGAATTTCTGAAACCCCTGGAAATAATTCTTTGCCATGTGTTGTTTTCAAATAATTAGTTGTTATTTTTCAAAAAGAAACAGCTTAGGGGTTGGGGGACACCTGCATCACATGGTATGTTTTTATTCCCCAGTTTCCCCTTGAATACTTTTATTTACACATTCAGATCAGCTCTCTGCAAACATATCCAACATTAACTTCGAACATGCTGTTTCTGTGAAAAATGCCTCTGGTTGACTTTAAAGTACAGAAGGAAATACAAGTAAATTCAATTTGAAAAGGTAAAAATATATATATTAACAGTACATCTTTTTAAACATATGGTTCTAAGATTTGTTCTTAGGACAGAAACCTCTTGCTATAGGCAAATACTTGAATGAATGCTTCTCAATTTAAGGTGAATATTGTTGCTCTGGGATACATGGAGTCTCCACATGCTGACTAGATCCTTAATAATTTTAACTGAAAAATTTAGTTGCCACCATGTTCTATCAGATACTGTCATGGTTTAACCCCAGCCAACAACTAAGCACCATGCAGCTGCTCGCTTACTCCTTCCCCCTACCAGTGGGATGGGGAGGAGAATCGAAAAGAGTAAAACTCGTGGGTTAAGATAAGAATAGTTTAATAATTAAACTAAAATATAACAATAATAATACAAATATAACAATAATAATAGTAATGAAAAGGAATATAACAAAAAAATAAACCCCAAAAAAGACAAATGATGCACAATGCAATTGCTCACCACCCACTGACCGATCCCCAAGCAACCACTGGCCCCTCTCAGCCAACTCCCCCCAGTTTCTATACTGGGCCTACCATGCTATGGTATGGAATAGCCTTTTAGCTGGTTCAGGTCAGCTGTCCTGGCCGTGCTCCCTCCCAGCGTCTTGTGCACCTGCTCGCTGGCCCAGCATGGGAAACTGAAAAGTCTTTAACTTCGGATAAGGCCTATTTAGCGACAACTAAACTATCAATGTGTTATCAACATTATTCTCACATCAAATACAAAACACAATCTACCAGCTACTAAGCAGAAAATTAACTCTATCCCAGCCAAAACCAGGACCAACACTTAACTTAAAAGCATTTTTTCTGTCGTTATTCCCATTGGAAAGCTGTTCCAGAGCATCACCGTTAACACTTAGAAAACATCAGCCACTTGCATCCATTTGCACTTGTGCTAGCACTGTCCTTTAGTTTAAGTAAGCCTCTTCCCTTCCTCTCTGCTTATTTACCCAATGTATTTGTACACATTCACAACACCCCCTTTCAGACTTCACTTGGCTAGGTGAAAGAAGTTACTCTCTTCCAGTCTCCTCTCCATGGTGGTTCCCCACTCCCTAGTAGTTCTAGTAGCTTTTCATCGCCAACCTCTGCGGTTTTGGTTTGGTTTCTCCCCTGCCCTTGAACACAAGTGAGAAAAACTGGACTCAGAATCCTACGGAGGCACAAATGACAACTGCATAAAATCACCTTGATTGAGTCTTTTTATGCACATGCAACATCAACAGCAAAGACTCCAGAAACACAAACTCATGACACTGCAAATCAACAGTCACTGGAGATGAAGTTCTTGGTGCTCACCTTGATGAGTGCAGAACAGTGACCCATATCCCACTGATATTTCCCATGGCTCCCTGGCTCCACATTGCATTGTCCACTCCGTGCAGAATACTCAAATAATGCAGGAATGAGGTCCAAAAGGTCTCCAACTGCATTCAAAAACTGGACATCAAAGATGCTCAGTGGCTGAGGAAAGGGAGCAGAGAGAGATCACAAAAAGCACTTTTAGACAGAGAAGCATCAAGACAGTCTCCGCTGTTAAAATTTTTCTTTTGCTCTCAAAGGAAGCTCTTATATGCTCTATGAAATACCTGCTGACAAGGCCCAGATGCTCAAACTCAGTGTGGCACTAGGCACCTAGGTATCTTTGAGGGTCTGGCCCTTGTAGTGGCATTACCAATGCTAACATTTCTGAGGGGAGAGGGCGCGAGGAAAGAAAAAAAAAGGAGATGCCAACAGTAACTTAGAAACTTCCCTGTGTCTTTGCAAACAGCATACTAATCAGTCTGCTGTTACTGTTACGCTAGGGTAATAGTAAGATTTTTTTGTTTGTTTGTTTATCCAGATGTCTTTGAAGAGTCTTACATTAACAAACACTCTTGGGAGTTTTCTGATTTTTATAAAGACTGCAATTTAAGACATCCTCAGGACTGAGGAGGAAACAAATGAGAGAAACAAGATATGTTAACAATACTAATCAAGTACAGAACTTGCTGAAGAAAGGAAGTCAGTCAAAAGGCACTCAGCTACGTGCTTTCAAAAACCCAGCACGGTTGGAGCTAGACAGGGTTAACTACGCACGGCTCATTGTGCAATATGCTCTTCAGAACCTTCCCTTAATCTGCCTCTTCAAAACTAAGAGCTTAACAGTGGTCCAGCCTCAACCTTCAAAGACTGTTTTCTAGATCTTTCCTGTTCTTGCTTGCACCATGCCTTTAGTTAAGGCAAGGCTTAAGGAAAAGAAGTCAGAACACACATTACTGTAGGGCTATGAATAGCAGTTTCAGAACGGGATATAAATCGCATAGTGAAGAAACACATTGCTTGCAATATAAATCACTGTTATTAAACCATACAGCTGACCTCTCTACAAACCCTAATAAAGGGAAGACAAGGACATGGGAAAAATAAACAGCATCAAATCCATTTACTTTTTATTCAGAAGGCTGAATTCTGTGTTACCCATCTGCTGTTTTGGCAGAGAGAACCACCAACAGAAAAAACAAAAATAATGTACATGCTAGTCCATGTGTCCCAAGGGAAGGAATTAAACCTTCCCACAATGCCCACCAAGACCAGAGAGAAATAAGCCATTCTCACAACTAAAAATCACACACCGCAGAAGGCCCTAACAGCACCTATTGTTTGAGGAAGAAATCCAAAGTAAACTTTCATATCTGTTACGTTGCTTTGGCTCATCATGGCTTTGCTGTAAGGACCCAAACAGGGAGCAGCAAAGGCCACAACCGATAACATCAAGAGATGCAACTCAGTGGTATGAATCATTTACAAACCAGTCCCAACAAGTGCTATCTCACTGGAATCCATACAGAGAGACTTGGCACTGTTTCAGCACAATTGCTCCCCATCCAGCTGCACTTAAAGCTCTGCAAGCCCACCACACAATGAGGAGAAGCTGTTTTCCGCTGTCCAACTTACGCAGGCGTTACTGTACAGTACCACCAGGAGGGGAGCAAACAGGATTGCCTATGAGAACGCTCCACCAGCCCTGAGATGTTTTAATTATACTTGACATCCATTTGCTATCATTCCATACTCTCCTCCATAAAACCTGCCTTAATTGCGACAGCTACAGGTAGCTACACTGATACTGCTGCAGCACCACTTGGAATTGCCTGTATGTTATTTTTAAAAATAAGTTTCACATTTCTGAGCTATCTTACAGTCATTTCAAGTAAAAAATTCAGTAACTACTAGGAAGTCCATTCAAGCTAGAACAAAGGTGCCAAGCAAGGAAGCTATTAGAACCGTATGCACAGAAAGGTGGCCAGAGAGCAGGAGGAAAGACTCACTCAAAGAAAGTGAATTCCTAGGGCTCCACTGGGTGAGATTAGGCTGCCAGCTCCCAAAGCCAGCCAGAATATCAGAAAAGTAAGAGAGGAACTAGGTTGTTAAGCACCCACTAGTGTTCCATTTTGACTCCCCTTTTCAGGGGCAAGCAAATTTTCTTCCTTTGTTTCTGAGAATTCATTGCTCTGCTTGGATAAACCTGGTTTTGTGTTTAAGACTGATGCTCAGTGACATCACCCAAGCACAGCACAGAGAGCTCCTCTGGAGTCTCAGTAAAACAATGCATTCAAACAGAAGGCTCGGGCTTCCACCACACAGGCCAAATCTGGGAAATTTAGGAGTGGTCTGAGGCATCTACCACAAGGCTGAGAGCCCCAGTTTGGGAATAAATACATCTGATTTCCAGGATACATGGAGAAATCTTCTCTATGAGGAGTTAATCTGGGTCCACTCGGAAGAATTAGACAAAGAAGTGTGCATCATAACAAGTGCATAATATAGGGCATATTACAATCTTTTGTAATCACCTTCTCCCATCTCACACAGCAATGTCACGAAAACTCCTTGCATGCATGGTTTACATCCTGAAGACTGAATGAATGAGCTAAATTGACAAGCGGAGAGGTGGTATAGCCACAACAAGAGGAAAAAGTCCTTTTGCTACAGTGTGTGGCTCCTCTACGGTACCATCCTGAATAGTGGGGGAAAAAAAAAAAAAAATAAAAATTGAGTTTGAGTTACATCAGCTGTAAGGAGAAATAAACTTAGAAAGGGTTGCAGATAGGAGAGAACCAACCTTAAAGGCTTGTCTACATGGGACATTAAAATAGACAAGTTATTCAGTAACGATTATTTTTCAGTAACTTCCCCATGCGTGAGCATTCTCAATACAAAATAAGGAAGTACAAATGGAGACCTGTCCTAGAATCATTGTAGTATTACAACTGACACCTCCTTATTCAAGAGTAATTTCCCTGTGCAGACAAGCCCAGGATTAATCACAGCGTTGGTAGAGCATTAGGCAGATGAAAAGGTTTAATGTTCTTTGACTGCCCCTCCTTCAGAAATTGTCTTGAAAAAAGGGTTGGGCTTGTTTACTGGATATAAAGTGTTGCTAAACCAGATGGAATAATGTCACACTTTAACACGAAAATGTATTCAGATTTTGACATCATTCTTAATGATACCTGTAAACATCAAATTGAAAATACAGAATTTTAATATACATTGCCTTCATGCAGGTCTTAATGGAAGCACCTACCTACTACAAAACATTTGCTTCATACATATAGGAATAAAAAAATATGTGCTAATACTAGTATCAAACAGTTCAGAGTCCAGATTTTCTTTCTGTAGTAAGGCTCAGTTATTTGTGGCTCTACAATATTCAAGTGAAGTAGACCTGAAGTTTAGGGGAGAAAAGAAAAATGGAACATTTCAGAGTGACCTGTGTGCACGTAATCCAGCTCTCCTTCAAGCACTATGTGGATTTGGCATAGCTTCAAACTACCATGCGTTGTGCAGGACAACAGAAAGTCAGATTTTTTGACTTGTCTTCCTCAAATAAGCGCACATCAACTAATCCACCAACCGGAAAACTCCAACTACTTGCAAGTGTGAAAAGTTACGTGTAGGTCTGATACTGTATAAAATTAAAAGCAGATCAGCAATTTAAACAGCTTGTTTCCATTCTCCTGAAGAGGAAACAATTTTATTCAACTTCGCCCAGTGCTCAGTATTGAAACCACACACTTTGTAAACACCGTTCCTTTCCTCCATCCTCTTTAGATCTTTTCGCCTATCCCTGTCAACCAACCAACTTCTCGGTGTTCGGGAGAGCACTTTGTCCATGTATGTGCATTCACTGGGGAATGTAAGAAGTCTGAAATCCACCTCCTCCTCCTCTTCCTCATGGCTCTGATCTTTTGGGAGTTAGGGAAAAAGGCTTCCCAGCCTTTCCTCTGCAGCGTTCGTTCTTCTTTTAAGCTTGGCAGCGGGGGGGGGAATTGCCCACTGCACATACAGAGCAATCAGCTGAATTTAGAAGTACACATAGTTTTTCTTAATAGCAGTTAGAACACCAGGTAACAAAATAGAGCCTGCCATGTGTTGGTTTTTAGCTTTGTTTTCGGTTGAGGGTTTTTTTGTTGTTCTTTTGTTGGGGTTTTGGGGACTTGTTTTTTATTGAGGCCTCAACCCACACACAAGATATTCTCTGTATTTCTGATGTTCATTACCACCATGAATCCAAACTACTGCATCACTATAGATCAAAAGATAAACTTGTTCTCAATGATAATGATCCTAAGACAATACACATATAGAAAGAATTCTTTTTTTAATGAAACAAAAGTAGTATCTACCAAAGGAAATGGGGAAGAAGAGACTCTCAAAGCACTAAGGACAACATGCAATAGGAACGAGATTTGCTTTTAAAAACATGCAGAATTTGTCGTGGGGGCTTTCAGTAACAAGTTTCTTCAATCATTTTTTTTAAGGTGAGAAATGAGTAATGAAAATAGTAAATACTTCTTACTGCAGCTGTTGCCCAAAGAATGATCAAAACAACATTGGATGAATTGAACTAAAATATAATACTTAGAAATAAGAAAAAAAAGTCATCTATTAGGTGAATTTATTTGCTAAACATTCCACTTACTAACAATCTATGGGATTAAATAAAAGAACCTTTTTAACATTCTTGTAACATGTACTGCAAGAGCAAAGCTGAGGACAGCCTCTTTGTAGGGCTGATGTTCTTTAACCACAAGGAATAAGGAAGATACTCTTGGTATTCTCTGGCTTTTTTTTTTTTTTTTTTTTACTTGTCTCATGTGTTAGTTTAGCTTGTTTTTTAAGTGGCAACAGTTTACAGAAGCTGGGTTGATTCTCAGATAAGTGGATGTGTCAAAGCTAGACTACCAGTCAGTAACACTGCGTCTGCCCCTGGCTTTTTTGTCCATGTGAGCTTGGAGCAACAATCTTCAAGCTCTTTATTTCCTGAAGACGAACCTAACAGCAGTAAATATGTACACAACCGGATCTGTTGTACCCTAATCTCCCCAAAGTATTTGAAGAGTAGCATGGTATCCAACAAAGTGAACTGCCTGTACTTTTGCAGAGCTGTCAGGCATGATTTTGATGCCAAGGAAAACCAAACACCTAGATGCTAGAGCAGCCATCCAAACTGTACTCAAAGCTAAGGGAGTGATGCTAACTTACTGGCTCTGGCAAAGAAAGGAAACTAGCACCATCTCAAGTGAGAAATACATACACAGGGAACATTTTTGCTTTGAATAAAAAGATACAGATCAACACAGGTGATGATGTCCAAAGCTAAAATTGTGAATGGCATGGGAAGGAGTCAAAATAAATCCCACCAACTGCTCCAGGTACATTTGGGAAAAGAAATAAATATATCCACTGCATATAATTCAAGAATAGAGGACACAAATATTTCAGACTGAACCACATGTCTGAACTTTCACTAAATGCACCATTTTTATATCGGCATACTGATGAGATCTCTGAAAAGAGGATAAAAATGACTGTCACTTCAGATGTGAATGCTTTTTAATATCAAATACATAGTTAAATAAGTATCAGGAATAGACATTGCACATAGGACATGCCTATTATAAAGAAATAGCTCAGACACTAACTAGCATTTTTCCCTCCCCCCATCTGAATCATACCGAAGCAGCCAAAAAAATTGATGAGCTTTACAGGGCTCTTCAGATACAGATGTCATGAAAAGGAGTTAATGAAGTCTTTTCCTAGGAAGTTCAAGGTTTCTTAGTATCCTCCCTGTAACTCAGGTCCATCGGGATGGATTTTTCCATTACTGTGAACAGTCTTTTTTTTTTTTAAAGTTTGAGCTGGTTCCCCATTCATGAAAGCTCCAGAGTAAGTTCTACGCAAAAAGACAGATGTGCATTTTACTAAAACCCATTTGTTTATAACTTAGGATTCCCAGCTTCTCTAAATTCTTGGTATGGTTAAGCCAAGACAAAAAGGATCAACTACAATTACTCAAGTCCTCCCTCTCACATTGAGAAACCTATTAGACCTAAGGACAGCACTGTAATTACGGCAGCTCTACTGGAGTTAAAGGAGCTCTGCTATTATACACAAGCTGATGATCCAGAACACAATTCTAACTGAACTTAAAAAAAAAACACCCACACAAAAAACCAACCAACATACAAAACCCAACAACCACTCAAAAACCTACCCCAGTGCACTGACCCTTATTTTGTAACAGGAGATTTAGAAGACAGAAAGGGAGAAGACATTTAGCAATGTAAAACATAGTCTGAAATAGAGAGGCTTTTAAGATTTGAAATCTGATGCTCAGAAATAAGAATGAAAGCTTTAATACATTCCCTACATGCTGATTCATGCTGTTGCAGCTACCCTTTATACCTGCAGGGTCATTTTCTCAGGAACAATTGTAAAATGACAACAGCAAGCACTTTAGAAGTGTCTGTCCTCCCAACATGCACACATGGATACAAAAGCCACCTCCAACGTACTCAGCACACGAGCACCCAGGGTTCCAAGTCCAGTGCAAAGGACCTGTGGTGACATGACCCAAGTGCTCAATCACATTGTTCTACATTGAACAGCCACTGAAGTTTTTGCAGAATGGAATGCAGAATGAGTACTTGCCACTAATTATCCTCCTTTTTTAAAAAAAAAAAAAAAATAATATTAGATTCCCTTCTCCCATCTTTATCCTCTGGCATCCCATCCCCAGCTACTGAAAAAGAGACGCAGTAATCTTACTGTTTGTTTGTGTAGCTTAGCCCACTCGAGGGCTCCCATGTACAGACCATCCAACTGTGCAATAATATAGCCAGCATGCCTCCAAAATGGATCATCCTTATTATTTCTGATTTGTTGTCTTGTCCACTGATCTTGTTTCCTGCAGAGGAACAGACAGATTGGGGTTTTGTTGGAGTTTTTTTAGAGTATGGTTGATAATGCAGGGAAGGGACAAATGTATTATGACCCAGATGATCCAACCTTCCCGGTGTTTTGAGGCAAATCATGCTTTGGAAATCCTGCAGACATAAACATTACATCCTCTGGGTGTAAACGTTCAGATCCGTGCAACATACCCTACAGTAGTGTGCCTCTACCAGACTTCAGTGTCAAAGAAAGAGTTGGACTCCACCTCTGTGAGGGGCTCTGCTACCTCAGATCTAGTATCCCCATATAGTTAGTGAAGGGAAACAAGTATTTGATAGGTCAGAAACCATTCCCCTTTAAATGCCTATTTAAGGCTAAAATAGACTGAAGAGCCTATTTCTCTCCCCTAGGTACGAATGCAATGAAGGCTTTCTGCTGGTCGTGCTCAAACACTGCCTAAGAACCACTGCTATGCTCCTCCAAGGAAAGGGTGGGAGGCCAAACACTATCCCATGTGCCAAACCCAGTCAACGCAGTTACTAGCCAAATAACCCAGATTTAGAGCATGAGGCAACACAAGCTGAACAGACCCTAGGGCCAGAGCAGCCAACGTTATGAGGACCTCCCAGAGTTCCCTCCATTGCTGTGTGCAAAGGGCCACAGAAGAACCGCAGGTGTTAGAGTAAGTCAGGACCAGATTCCAGCCTCTTCCATCCTCCAGCATTACGTACAGCAGTAAAAAAAAGAGAATGAACCTGGCAAGGAAGCAAACTCTTCCAGTAGTATATGGGTGGCAAAACCAGCCAGATTTAGCTTTCTGGAAGTATGAAGGTGTAAGTAGTATGTCAGAGGAAACAGTGATATGGTCAAAGCATTCAGGGCTAAAGACTTTCAGGACAATGCAGCAGCCCATATTCCAAAACTGCTATAAAGTAAAGCAGAGATGCAGGAGTCCAGAATATAGGCAACCGAAAAATGATAAAGGTCACCTAGTATTGCTCCCCCTCCATCCAACAACGCCTCTTGGGGGATACAGCTGCTATGCTGAGTCATTCTGGAAAAAAACCCACACAAATTGATACAGTAGCTATCCCATTTTTCTCAGAAGGAAGACAGCAATGCTGAAAAATGATAGCAAGGGAGTGCTGAGATTTTTTTCTCTTCTTTTTGCATAAGCTAAAACCAATCCACTTTACGTATGTGCACCAATAACGGAATTAGTCAGAGATTTAACCCATTGTTGAAAGCACAAGACAAGGGACAGATGGAAAAGATAGAGGGACTATTTTTTCCAATGGAAATGACCAAAGTTTCACAGAAGTATTTGTAATGGAAGAAAACATAAGTCTAAGGATATTTAAATAATTGGTAATCACAGTTGAGTTTGCCAGTACCTGGCCTGGTTCTTCTCCCACTTCTAGTTTCCCACCAGTGTAGCTGCATTATTTGAGCAGAATTACTTTTGATTTATACAGCTGAAGAGAAAAGGGAATCAGGACTTTTGTGATTAGAACAGAATTTACATCAGCGGTAGAATAAACAAAATGCTAACCTAACAGAGGAAGGAAAGAATACAAAATGCTAAAAAGATTAAGATGCCAGGAGACCACATTGTTCAGTGTAACATTCAAAATACCAGCTTCTTAGAAAAGGATTTTTACTACAATGACCTTCAGAATTCATTGGCATTATCTGCACCCCTTTGTAGGAATGGTTTTAAACACTTCTTTGAAAGAACCAGAATTAGGGAAGGGCATATGCCCTTCTTCAAGTATATTTAGAATTTTTTTCATACTAATGGCATTTAATCAGAGGGAAAGGAAGCATATCTTTTCTTTAGCCCATAAGGAAGAAAATAAAAAAACCCTTGAAAATTCTGTCATCTTCCAACCCCAAGTCTTTGGTTATTAGAAAGGAAATTATTAAATACATACGCCATAAAATTCTGAACTCCACTTCGAATGGCTGGATTCTTAATTAACTGTGGATACATATTTGCAGCATGGTCATACATGTGCCTGAAAGAACAAGAGTAGCAGAAGTTATTCTTTTGCATCTTCCCTTCCTTTTGCTTACCAACCCATTAATCAACAAACATTGATAGACAAGCAACACAGTCCACAAAGTAAGCTTTTCCTAATCACAGAAATTCCTTCAGTGCATGACAAACAGCAAAAGGTAACACAAATGGTTTGTTGAAATTTAACTTAAAATAAACAACCTTTCTAATACCCACTCAAACTGCTGTAAAATGGAAAGATAAGCAAGAATGACACTGAACTACTTCATAGCAAAACTTCACATTTGGGGAATATTTGTAGCCCAGAGGCATCTTGAAAGTGTTAGCACATTAAAGCACAACAGAAACAGTTTACTGGAGAACTATTCTATTTGGAACCAAAAAACCACAGGTGAGGAGAATATAATTTGCCGATTCGGTTGTGAGAGATAATTTCAGCCTGATGTCTAGCAGGTGTTACTTACCATTAACCATGATCTTTCCTTTCCGATTAAGCTAATATCTCTATTTTAAAGTATGTGTAAGTTGATCCTACATGTTCCTACAGAAACTTCCACTCAAGCCAGCCCTAAATAGATTCAGCTTTATGGAGACCAAAATTATTGTGATTTTGTTGTTGTTGTTGAATTCAGTTGGCTGTTTCATCCCCATTAATTAATAGGAACAAAAGGTTAAGGGGTTTTTTTGGTTAGTTGGGGCTTTGTTTGTTTTGTTGGAGTCCTTTACATTTCAAGATGAAAGCAACTGCCAAAAATTGCTCAGGAGCTCAGAAGTTAAAAATCACCCTTCCATTTTAGGCAAAATGTAATCACAGAATCATAGAATCATTTGGGCTGGAAGGGACCTTTAGAGGTCATCTAGTCTAACCCCCCTGCGGTGAGCAGGGACATCTCCAAGTAGATAAGGTTGCCCAGAGCCCCATCCAGCCTGACCTTGAATGCCTCCAGGGATGGGGCTTCCACCACCTCTCTGGGAAACGTGTTCCAGCATTTCACCACTCTCATTGTAAAAAATTTTTCCCTTATGTC